CCCTCTTTAGTAACTTCAAAAGAACGCCTGAGGCAATTAGAGGTAATCACAAACTCACCAGGATTTCACACCTGCTTATCACAACACCTGTCAGTGACTGAAAAAAGATTGATGTTTCAAGCCTTTTCAAACCAAACTCAGGCTCAAACCAGAAGCTTGGTTTGAATACACTGAGCTGGTTTGTAAAACCTAGTCCCAGTCCTGGCCAAAATGGAGCTCTTAGTAACTGCCCACTTCATTTCACTGCATTCTTCCTCTCCTCACCTCACAGACTTTTTTATTCTATTAAAAATGACTTAGGAGCTGAATCAGGGTCTCTATCCTGGAGTCTGCCATCTGCAGAACTATCATATCTGAAGCTGGAATAAAGGGAGGAGATTTTAGAACAATTGTAACTTGACTGGCAACAAATACGACTGGCTTCTCTGCATGACAGGGCTTCAACTGGAATACTCGATCCAGTTCTAAGCACAACGCTTCAGAACTGATGTGGGCAAATTGGGGGAGCAACATAAAACTGATCAACCGTCTAGAAAACATGACTCGCAAGGAAAACGGGGGAAAAATATATGTTTAGTCTGAAGAAGAGACAACAAAGTGGGAACACAATAGTCATTAAGTACATAAAAGGCTTTGATAAAAAAGAGTGACACACTGTGCTCCTTATCTGCTGAAGATCGGGCAAGACTTAATGGGCTTAAACTCCAGCAAAAAACTAGGAAATTAGGAAAAACTACTCCTAGGAGTTAGGAAGTTCAGCACTGAAACAAATTGAATAAAGGAGGGAGGGGGCACCGTGGAATCTCCATCATTAGAAGTTTTTAAAGAACAGTTTGTAAAAACCCCCGTGGGCCTGCCCACATCTAAAGGCCCCTCTCCCAGCCTTCCAAAAGCCACTGGACCTGCTAGGCCTCATGGTTCACTGCACCCTCCCCCAGGAAGGAGCCAGAGAAGCTGAGCCCAGCAGGGTCAGATAAAAGGAGCTGTAGGGGCTGAGGAGTGCGCTGCACTGGACAAAGTGTGATGAGCTATGTTTGCTGCACCTGGAAGGAAGGGGATCTGAGGGTAATGGACAGAAGAGCTCGGATGGGAAGAGACCCAGGCTGTATCTACATTGGTGCGATCTTGCGCAAAAACATGCTGCCTGTCTACACTGGCGGGGAGTTCTTGCGCAAGAACACTGATGTTCTACTGTGTGAAATCAGTGCTTCTTGCACAAGAACTATGATGCTCCCGCTCAGGAATAAGCCCTCTTGTGCAACTGTTCTTGCGCAAGAGGCCAGTGTAGACAAGCAACATAAATTTCTTCTGCAAGAAAGCCCAATGGCTAAAATGGCCATCGGAGCTTTCTTGCGCAAAAGAGTGTCTACATTGGCATGGATGCTCTTGTGCAAAAGTACATCTCTTGCGCAAAGGCACATGCCAGTGTAGACGCTCTCTTGTGCAAATACTTTAACGCAAGAACTCTTGCGTTAACGAGTATTTGCACAAGATCATGCCAATGTAGATGTAGCCCCAGAGAATGCAACAGCAACCAAGTAAAGGAAGTAGCATGTGGCGGTTGTTTAAAGGGCCTCTAGTTTGGAACCAAAATAGGGGGTGAGTCAGAGTTCCCCACCAGCCAGTGCTGGTATGATATAAGCCCTGAAAAGGGGACATGGCTAGTTTCAGTAATCTAAGCAAGAGGGATAGATTTAGAGGGGCAGAAGGCTCTAGCAAGGAAAGACAGTTCTGGTGAGACTGTTTTCTAAGCCCTGAGATGGGGGGTAAGTTTCCTTGAGAAACATGAACAGAGGACTTGGCTTAAAGGAGCAAAAGGAGGATGAAGAGAACAGCTACTCTCAGGAATGAGGGGCTGAATCCAGCCTGAGGCAGAGATTATGCTTGCTCATGTTTGTCTTGGATTTGAATACTCTGCATGGTGGGAGAGGATCATACATATTAATTGAGTCAGCGGTTCTCAACCATTCCAAACTACTGTACCCCTTTCAAAAATTTGTCGTCTACCCCCCCCCCCCAATTTAACCTCACTTAATAAATGACAGATATAAAAATCCCAGAGTCACAGGCACTTTTGCTGAAAAACAACACTCATATTTTTACCATATCATTATAAAATATATCAATTGGAATATAAATGCTGTACTTACATTTCAGTGCACATCAGTGGTTCTTTGTGCTCCAGCCACCAACCAGAAAACCCTCCACAAAGTGGAGCTTGGAGCAGACCCCCAGGCATGAAGCCATGTGGCAGGACTCCTGTCAGTTGAGTGCAGCCCCAACTCTAGACCAAGCAGAGCAGCCCAGTGGATCTGGACCCAGCAGGGCAGCCCCAATCCCAGCCCCAGCCAGATGGCAGGCCAGCCCAACAGCCTCAACATACGAGATGGCAAGGCAGCCCCTCAGCTCCAACTCCAGATCGTGCTGCACGAAACAACCTAGCAGCACTAGGCCAGGTGGCATGGCAGCTTGGACTCTGGAACCCACTGGCAGTCCTGGACCCTGCCATGCTGGGCAGGGTGACCCCAGATATGGCAGAGCCAGGTGGCCCAGAAGCTCCAGTTCTAGACCCTGGTAAGAAGGGCAGTCTAGGAGCCTCAATTCCAGACTCCACTGGGCAGCCTTTAGTGCACCGGTGGCTGCAGCTATGTGCTAATTGGGCCACAAGCCGAGAACCACTGGTGTGTAGTATACAGAACAATATAAACAAGTCATGTCTAGACATTTTAGTTTGTTCTTTATATAGCCAGTTATAAAACTAGGCAAATATCTAGATGAGTTGATGCTCCCCTTGCAAGACCTCTGAGTATCCCCAGGGTTATATAGTTGAGAACGACTAGCCTGTGATGTGGCCAGAGGGCTGAGCCACTGAAAATCGACCTAATGAGGCTGACAATCTACAAGGGATGCCCCAAGAAAATATGCAGCATCTCACCAAGTTGACAGGAGGCACTCACAAGAAGCGAATGTCCCCTATCACATAGTCTAGACAACATAATTCTGCCTCAGTGCATGGGACTAGATGGATCATAGTCCCTTCCAGACTTACTACTTTTGAAAGAGGCAGTTTTGGGGTGGTGAGGGCAAGAGGAGGCATGTAAAGGGCTGGGAAGAGACTAAGCAACCCAAACTGCCGCTTTTTCTGTGGCAAGGGAATTCTGAGGACAGAGAGGCAGGGTGTAGGGATTTCTATGCCAGATGTAAGAAGTCATCACACACGTCTAAGCTCATTCCATGAAGTCCACTGAACAACCACTGCAGGGCTGGTTTAACATTTTCCTTCTAAACTCTTTTGACTAAAGATTTTGTTTTTATTAAAAGTGCCTGCTTTGATGAGAAAATGTACCTGTTTCATTGAAAACACAAGTGCCTGAAAACCAAAATATTTTGATTTGGAAATGCTGCCATAGTGCCTCCTGGGAGCTGTACTTCGGTTGTCTCTTGTCTCCCTATTCTTCTATGGGCTGGCCTTAATTTTCCTGTATTCAACCAGTCAGAAAACTTAAGCTATACACGAGAAAGGAAGCATCAAGCTCCCAAATAGCAACTCCCAAGAGGCACCAGCATGGCAGTTCCAAATGGAAATATTTTGGTTTTCAGCAGAAATGTTTTGGTATTCAGATTTCCACCTAAACTCTAAGACTGTGACTACACTGGCGGGATCTTGCGCAAAAGCAGTCGCTCTTGCACAAAAACTTGCTGCCTGTCTACACTGGCCGCGTGTTCTTGCGCGAGTATACTGACGTTCTAATGTATCAAATTGGGGCTTCTTCCGCCAGAACTCTGACGCTCCTGCTCAGGAATAAGCCCTTTTGTGCCACTGTTCTTGCGCAAGAGGCCAGTGTAGACAGGCAACATGAATTTCTTGCACAAGAAAGCCCTATGGTTAAAATGGTCATCAGAGCTTTCTTGCGCAAGAGAGCATCTACACTGGCGTGGATGCTCTTGTGCAAAAGCACATCTCTTGCGCAAAAGCACATGCCAGTGTAGACGCTCTCATCTGGAAGAGTTTTTGCAGAAGAACTCTTCCATAAGAGTTATTGCGCAAGAAGCTGCCAGTGTAGACGTAGCCTAAGGCTACGTCTAGACTGCAGCCTTCTTCCGCAAAAGCTTATGCAAATGAAGCGCAGAGTAGAATATCGCCGTGCTTCATTTGCATAATTAATTAGCAGCCGTTTTTGCGCAAGGGGCTTTTGTGCAAAAAGGAGCTGTGTAGATGGCTCCTTTTTGCACAAGAACCATTCTTCCTGAAAAAATGATGAAGAGCAGCTCTTGCACAAGAGGGTTTTTTGAACAAAAAAGAGCTGTCTGCACAGCTCCATTTTGCACAAAAGCCTCTTGCACAAAAACGGCTGCTAATTAATTATGCAAACGAAGCACGGCAATATTCTACTCTGCGCTTCATTTGCATAAGCTTTTGCGGAAGAAGGCTGCAGTAGAGACGTAGCCCAAAATTTGCGTGGGGATGTGAGGCATTTTTCAACCAACTCTAATAGTATTCAAATCTGGCACTTCAACACAAAAACTCTGAGTATTTCCATTGAAAAATACCCACTTATTAAAACATTTCAATTGATCCAAACTGAAGTGATTTCCCATCTCATAGATATTGTGAGATTTCAACTTTCTCCCAATTTTCACCAAATATTCAAGGGAAGGCACAACTGTTTCCTGCCCAGCTCTACTGGCATCCCATTGCTAATCTTCTGTGCCATCCAGTTCCCATCTGCAGTGTTTAAAGAACATAAAACCGTGTCTCTGTTCAGTCTCTAGCATAACAGAGTTCTCAGCTTGACCAATGAAAATGTTAAATTAATATTATGAACTTTTATTAAATGTGTTCTCTCTTCACTGCTTTATTTGCATTTAAAATCAGAAATGTTTGTTCTGAACTACCTAAGAATTAGTGTTGTTTCCTGTGGACTCCTGTGTCAACAGCAACCCCAAGATATATGGGTGTCCTGGGAAAAGAAATTCAGTACTTCCAACTGAAAACGCAGTAACAGTTTGCATCATAAGTATTTTATTTTCTGTACACCATATCTCAGAAGCTTGGTATTCTACTTACATCATATTTTTAAAAAAACTATCATTTCAAATTGTTGGCACTGACGCCGTGAAACAATTCTATCGAAGGAAGAAAATGAAGGGGCTTTTTTTGTGCTGGCATACACTGTGGACAACAATAAATCACTGGCAATAGAAATATGCATTTGGTGCAAAAGTCAGGATAAGGTCTTTGTTGATAACTATAATTCTTTTATTAAACATTTTACTGAGCATTAAACACTGCTGTTTATGTAGGCACAGAAATAAGAACAACAACATACATTTAAAATGATAAAGTGCAGACCTATACTGAGAAGCAGGCCTGGTAAGTCAGTCTACTCCTACGATTTGGAAGGGGGAAGAGGGAAAGGAACTGCCATTATGAGAGTTAGTATATTGTAAATTATGTTGTGAGTTAACAGAACTATATAATGTTTCCCACAAGGATTAAAGCATTTGAGAAGAAGTGTTTTTGTTGTGAAAGATGAAAGTTAGACTTAAAATAATTTACACAGTGGTTTATTTAAGACTATGCAAATTGAAGGCTTGTGCTGATTAGAACGCATCCTTTAACACAAGCCCCTTCCTTAATGCTGATTAGGTATTTTTGTTGTTGTTGTTAGAAAGTATTTAAACTGATTTTCAGCCAGTCAAAATTTTCCTTACCACTTTTCTGCTGCTAAACCTAATTTTTTTTTACTTCACTGTTTTTCAAGAAGTGCATATAATTCTTAACTTGTGTATATATGGCCATTATATTTCAGAATAAAACTTATACATTAAAAATATAGTTGCTGCAATCATGATCAAGCATGTAAGAAAAGGGGTCAGGAACAGGGAAGCTGGGTTAAAGTCACTTTTTTTTTGTAAGGTCCTGGTTTCATTTCTGTGCTGTAAGGCTTTCTCTAGGCAACCTGGCCCCACTGATAAAACAACTAACATGTCTGTTAACTTCAGTAAACGTGCCCTCCTCTCTTTTTCATCTCATAAGGGCAGTTTTCTGCAGCTATTAGTGAGATAAAAATGTATAATTTTTTCAGGGTTTACATCCCCACCCTAAAAAAAGGCAGAAAACAGGAGGAATAATAACTAATTAGCTACAACATGATTTTGTAGTAAACAATAGAATATAACGTGCAATAGTGCAATTTGTCCCTTGCTGCTCCAACAATGCAAGTCTTAATATATAGTCCATGGATTTTTACATAGCTTTTCATATTTAATTGCGTGTTTGTCGTGGATTACTGTTTTTGCCAGACTTTTGGGCAGAATCACTTTGTCCAGGTTCATTTTTGCCTTTTCCAGGATGACGGAGTTTCTGATCCCAGCGCTGTACAATTTAAGCAAACAAAACTAATAAATAATGGAAGGAAAACATTTAACAAAACTAAAAATCTGTATGTTTTTAAAATATCCTAAATTCAGACATTTTTACAGAGCTAGTTCACAAATTGCACTGAAATGCTGCAATGCAATATTTATTAAAAAAATATTATTGCTCCCCCCTCCCAAAGAGAAAATGCCCAAGACTTTATAAAAGAATGTGAATGCATGTGATTTACAGAGTTCTGCCCCAGAATGCACAACATGGTGACAGGAATGTGGCTACCTAAAATGTGTACCTACATAATATTACAGTATCAACTCGACAAATTGCAAGGTAAAGCAAGTTCATGCTTTCATGGTCTAGTGACAATATGTCTTAAAACCTTATTTCTTTAATTGTTTTTGACAGGGATGTGCCATTTTAAATCTACTTACTAAGGCAAAGATTCTGCAAATTGATTTGTACAAACCCCTAGGTCTGTTTACTTTAGAAGGGCTCTGTGTGGCATCTCAACTACTCAGCACCTCAAAGGATCATGTCTTAAAATGCATAGCATGTTATTTACAGAGGGGATGAGTAACATTACACACAGACCTAAGTTATGAATGTCAGGATAGATTATGGCCAAGACACAGATTTTAACAAAGTTATTTTACAAAAATTGAATGATTTTAAAAGTTAATTCATATATATTCAAATATTTTTGGATGTTTTCTACCCTTTAAAATATTTTATATTGCAATTACACCACAGAATATGAAGTGTACAGGACACACTTTATTTTTATTACAAATATTTGCACTGCAAATAACAAAAGTAGTATTTTTCAGCTCTCCCATTGCACTGAAGTACTCGTAATCTTTATCATGAAAGTTGAATTTACAAATGTAGAATTATGAAAAAAAAACCTGTATTCAAAAATAAAACAATGTAAAACTTTAGAGCTTACAAGTCCACTCAGTCCTACTTCTTGTCCACTCAGACAAACAGTTTGTTTACATTTGCAGGAAATAATGCTGCCCACTTCTTGTTTACAATGTCACCTGAAAGTGAAAACTAATAAATAATCTCATTTCTGTAGCCAATGTTGCAAAATATTTATGTGCCAGATGCACTTAAGATGTGTATGTCCCTTCACACTTAAATCACCATTCCAGAGAACATGTGTACATGATGATGACAGGTTCTGCTCAATAGCAACTGAAAGAAGTGCAGACTAATATTTGTTCATTTTCATCATCTGAGTCAGATGCTACCAGCAGAAGGTTGATTTTTTCCTTTTGTGGTGGTTCAGGTTCTGTAGTTTCAACATCAGAGTGTTGCTCTTTTAAGACAACTGAAAGCATGTTCCATGCCTTGTCCCTCAGATTTTGGGAGGCACTTCAGATTCTTAAATTTTGGGTCAAGTGCTGTAGCTATCTTTATAAATCTCACATTGTTACCTTCTTTTGTGTTTTGTTAAATCTGCAGTGAAAGTGTTCTTAAAATTAATATGGTGATCTGAGAGTGCTACTACATGAAATATATGAAACAGTGTGGTTAAAACACAGAGGAGTAGATATACAATTCTTCCCCAAGGAGCAGAGTTACAAATTTAATTAACACATTTTTTAATGGGCATCATCAGCATAGAAACATGTCCTCTGGGATGGTGGCCAAATCACGAAGGGCATACCAAATGTTTAGCATATCTGGCACATAAAATACCTTGCAATGATGGCTATAAAGTGTCATGGAAATGCCTGTTCTCAATTTCAGGTGACACTGTAAATAAGAAGTGAGCAACATTATCTCCTGCATATGTAACCAAACTGGTTTGTCTGAGCAACTAACTGAACAAGAAATAGGATTGAGTGAACTTATAAGCTCTACTGTTTTATATTGTTTTGTTTTTGAGTGTAATTCTGTAACAATCTACATTTGTAAGTTGCACTTTCACAATAAAGAGATCACACTACCGTATTTGTATAAGATATATTTAAAAATATTATTTCTTTAACACATTCACAGTTCAAATATTTGTTACAAAAATAATGTAAAGTGAGCACTGTATTCTGTGCTACAGTTGAAAATACAGAAAAACATCCAAAATATTTAATACATTTCAATTGACATTCTATTGTTGAACAGTGCAATTAAAACTGCAAATAATCACGATTACCTTTGAGTTAACTGCGATTAACCGACAACCCTAGTAGCAATCAATCACCACTGTATAAAGCACATTAGATTTTAATAGCCTATGCTTAAGTTTATTCATGAAACTATCTTCATCGAATTCAAAGTCATGCTTGTGCTTTACAGCCTAAGGTCAAAGTTACTGACATACATAATTTATTTGCAGGGTTCTCATTTGCTGGTTTTATTAGAAAAAAAAGAATAAGGATCTTTTCCAGTTCTTAGGGGTTTCTAAACTACAATTTGTATGTATGTGTTCGTGTTTCTAAGAACCTGATAGCACAAGAATTTCTGTCTGCCTAAGAGATCATAATTAACATCATGAAAATGAATTGGCAGACACCACGATACAATGACAAGCAGAAAGTTGTCCTACTTTTCTTTTTTATTTAAATGCATAAGTAAATCTACCTGTGGGCCTTTTTAGGAACACAGAACAGAAAATCAGTCAAGCGATACTACAGCATAGTCAGCATAAGGGAATAAGCAGTAGTCATTAACTGAAAGTTACACCTCTAGAATCAGACAACCAGAATAAAGTGGTACCAGAGAACAGTTATCACATGATCTGTGGCACTGGAGCTGAGGAGGATCCAACAGATAGGATAAGAATTTAAAATGGGTCACCCAGGCTTATAAAAGAAATATGGATGTCAGCTAGATGCAGAATTTGTTACCGAAAATAGGATTTTCCCTGCAACAATCACTAAAATGTGAAACAAATAAAGAGAAAGTGAGAGACGCACACATGCAAAAAAGATCTAGGGAATCTCATTTATGTCAAATCAACATGTTGGAGAAATGCTTTCCATGTAAACTGATATTCTTTGTAATGCTACCAAAGTCACTAAAACCCTTTATGGTCTAACAGGTGCCACCTACATGTGATAAAGCTTAGGACTCAAAGATTGTGTGGATGCCTAGCTTACCCAATCACAAGAATTACAAGATATTATGGTGAAACATATGTCATTTTTGTGTCCACTTCAGTTTCTCCCTATTTCTCTATTTTCTTTCAGATATGAACTCGCACACTTGTATTCCTCCCATGTTTTTTTCCAACCTCACATTTGTTGAATGTTTCCTTAGAGAAGACCTACAGCTAGGAGAGAGACCAATCTAGATGAGAACTGTATTTTAGATGAGAACTATATTTAAATGTTAAAATTTGAGATGCACGAGTCTGTAAATGAGATAAGAATAAGGTTTGTAACACCATGTTCTACCCTTAGCTGTGTGTAGACGGTTCCCACTGAACCAAGTAAGAGTTGCATGTATGCATCTAAAAGTAGAATTTGGCTGTAGATCTAAATCATGCTCCTGCTGATTTAAATCAACAATTCAGGTTTCAATCACTGCTATACTTGTACAAATCTAGAGTAACTCCATTAATTCCAATTATTTTATCCGGATTTACCCTTGTGTAATGGAATCAAAATTTGATCCATTAATTTTAATGGCTATAGAATTGGGCCTCACATATTTTCTCTCTTTTCTTAAAGGTGAGATACGATCATTGTTTCCGGTGTCAAGCATTACAAAGGTCATGAAACATTTTCTTACCTTTACTTTTTTACCAAGACGATCCTTCCATTTCTCAGCTATGGAGCCTTCTACCAAGAGCAACCTATACATTTCAGATAAGCCAGTTATTTTGTTATCAAGACATGTGTACACTGTACACAGCAATATACACAGCACTAACAAGATCTGCTTAAAGGGAGAACTTCACAGCATTCAGCAGCGGCAAGTCCAGATAATTCAAGGGTATGGCTCGTGAGTTCTGAATAAAAACCTGCCCAGTTTTCTTCAGAGGGAACAATGATGGCTTCAAAATGAGGTCTCATGAGTGGACAATTAGAACAGAGAAAGTAATTCTTTAAAGAACATTAATCAATAAATTACCTGGAGCGTTCCTCATCTTCATAGCCCATTATAATGTATTCTTCATTGGCATTGAGCGGGGGGCACAGACAGCCAGAGTTTGTGTAAAGGTTAACAGTGTCCTTAGGAATATTCACCAGGGAAGATTTTAGTATCTCCTTTACTTCAACTACTGCGGTAACATCGTGACATTTAGTCTTCACCTCCTTCACTTTAGCTCGAATGACTGGGGAAAAGTAACAAAGTGCAGTTTAGCAGCAGCAAATAATGTAGGTCATCTCCATGCCATCTGTTGTGACCTGGTGGATTAGTCTTTTGTGTGCTTCTTTATCAAAAGCTCAACTGAACTCCATCTAGATTTTGCCCTCAAACGCCTCTCTCTCCCTATTTATTCACTTCCTCTTCTTCAAAAAGTAACCTATACATTTCAGGTAGCTCATCTATCTAATAGCAAAAGGGAGTAAGCACAATCTATCTAATAGCACTATGCGGGGAGTAATTTGGCAAAGGGCCTTTCACCTTACTTTCTCTGTGATTTTTTTAGACTTTTTCTTTTAGCCTCCTTCTTTTATCCCCTCTGTCTTTTAAATGTATAATTCGTACTTCATGCTGTTTCCTGCTGGTTCATTCATCTTATGCTACAGCAACTTCTTTCTTATCTAGGTCCAGTGCAGACTCTTAATTTGTCATCCACAGCCTTTCACAAAATTGAGATTATACTTGAAAGCTTTAGTGTATCATTATCTCTATTGGGTGTCAAGGCCTTTCCTTTTCGCTTCTTCCTCCAGTGACCCAGCACCAATCTGCTCTGTTTTCCATGAACTCCAATGCTCCTGATCTTGACCTGATGACCTGTCTAATTGTTTCTGCTTTGAGCCTATCATTCTCCCATGAACTGCATAGTAGGGGAAAGTTGCCTTCCAAGGGCAGCAGTCTTTCAGGTCTCTCATGGTGACCAAAAAGCTGGCACCACATGCAAATCCAGAGGCCATCCTCAAAGAATACTACATCTTGCGTTGTTTTCAAATACTAGAATCTTCCTTCATTTACTTCTAAATTCCTCAGATTCTTAATCTTAAAAAAAAAGACACCATAGAAGAGATGTAATGTAAATCCATTAACCAATTCCCACTCCTCCCTCTCTTTCACATAGGTTTTCCACCCACAGACATGCTCAGCATGCACTGCAGCTAAGTTAAACACCACTGTTCAACAGCGCACAGGTGTTACGTAACGCCAGAGGAAAAATTTTATCCAAACAAATCCACTTTCTTAAAATACCTTAAGACTTTACTACAAAAGACTACTTCACTTTGGCATTCCTTCTAATAATGTGTTTCCAGAGGTTGTTAAATTCTAAAGAAAGAGAGGAATGGCATAAAACACTATAAAGAGAGCCTGTGGTAACTCATCTTCATTCTCCCCAAAACAGCTTCCATGCTATAGCTGTCACATGCCATCGCTTACTAAATCCCTGCCACAGGCAGGTGCAGTATACACTGCACAATATTCACACCACAAACACTGCCCAAATACACCTCCCACTACCATATATAAAACAGCTAAATGAGGCAGAAACTCATAATCCTGTTGCTTTTCACTGACTATAAAAGTTCATTAATATCATTTAGTATAATTAATTTTATTGCAGACTTACTGGATACTATTTGTATACATATATACTTAAAACATAATGAAAACCATTCTATTGTTTAAACCGATGGCCTGGTCATGTAAACCCTATATCACGACTTCAGTGAAACTCATATTGGCTACTCAGATGAGTAAGAGATCACAGGTCAACAAGTTAAGACCCCAACTGCCCAATTCTGCATTTCTGACTCCTATATGAAATCCTTACTTATGCAAGAAATCTTGGTGACTTCATCAGGTTTATTTGTGTAAGAAAGACATGCTTGAATAAAGGCTACAGAAATGACCCGGGGATGTTCAAAGAATAGGGAAATTCGGACAGCTCAGGACATACGCTCGACACCATGGGGTACTGACCACATAGCTTAGCCTGCAGGAGCCTCACTACTGGCCATGATGCAGAAGAAGGAAAAAAAACTAACTTCAATGTCAGATCTCAGATTGAAATTTGCAGGAATGACAGTTAATAAAACTTTTTATTTGTAACCTAAGTGAATTTGAGCTAGAAATCAGATAGAGATAGAGAGATCAAACACTCCAGACACATTTAAGACTCAAAACACTTTTCAATACATAAACATTTAGTATTCTCCTGGAGCCAATAAAGTGGCACATCACATACCTGACTAGAATTTACAATGAAACACAGCAGCATTATGCCATGATGCATCCTGGGAATGTATGTTAATGCTTAAATATTGTTTTAAAAAAAATTATTCACAGAACATTTTTTATCTCAAAAGCAACAAATATAATAAAATATTAATCCAGCCTTGCCTCATCCTTCCATGAGTGAATCAAGTTTTTTACTTCATGTTGTCTTTTTTATAGTTGCTGCTAAAAGTTGCTCAATGCAATAAATCAGAGCTTTCCTAGTATAATACAAATGAGTGGGAACTTAGGACATGCCTCATTGTAGTGGAACTTTTTCCTGTCTATCAATAACTTTAGTTTTCTGAAAACCTGAAAGGTTTAATACGTAGCCATGCAGTTGTCCTTACCATAGTTATAATTGTTCCGAAGATACGTCTTCTGGGTAGCTTTAATAGGTTTGCATCTGCAACGCTCTGAAAACACAGAAAACGTTTGCTTCAGAACAAGGCATTGATTCAATGGCAAACTCTGCCATCCTCCCCAATGTGTCTTAAAAAAAAATCAGATGGCAATAATTATATGTATATCCAGGTTCTAGTAAAAACTTAAGGTATTATTAGTCTCCTCTGCACAAAAAGATAGTGAAACAGAACATCAGGTAGGTTTAAGGCTACTTACAAAAAGATTAGAGTGGAGCCAAAAGAAAATCAGAATTTCTGACCTGCAGGAAATTCTGATACTTCAACATTTGTTTTCATCACAAATCTAAATAGTTGAAATACCACCACTTAGGACAACAAATGGGGGAGGAGGAGGAGGAAATGTCAGAATGTTTTGTTTTGAACCTGTTCAATTTTATAAAGTATTTTCCTATTGCAGCATATTGCCTCATGGGAACTGTAGTTCAGGAGTCTGATGGCCACATTCTCCCTTATGGGCCTGGATTCCCTGATCTTCCATGATTCACCATTCAGCTGATCAGAGGGAAGACTGTATTGTATCATGGGAGATGTTGTCTGGCAAGGGAGCTATAGGGGAGAATGGGGGCAGGCACTACAGCTCCCATGAGGCAATGCACCAAAATAGGGAAATGCAGTTTAATGTTTAATTCCTTTCAGCTAGTTCAACAAACTAACTCAAATTAAGAAATTTCATTTTGATTTTCCCAACTGAAAAATGAAATATTTTGCAGAAACTGCATTTCCTATCAATCACAGACCAAATTCTGCTTTCAGTTATACTGTGTGTAACCCAGAATAACTGTACAAGCAAAACAGGGCAGGCTGTAGACTCCCTATGGCAGATCTATAGAAGAGGATGAGTGTGAAAGCATAGGCATGGCCAGCACATTTGTTAGGGACTTAATCCATTTAAGCCTCAAGGCTACCTGGATTTTAGTCTCAGAACCAGGCACAGCATTAAGAAATGTGAGATAACTGAGAGCTACACAGCAGGGCTAATGCCAAAATAAGCTACAGAAGTTGAGCTATGTCAGTTGTGTAGCTTAAGTCAACATAGCTTATTTCGGCTTTTGGTGCTGTCTACATAGCAGGAAGTCTGACAAAGAGCACTCTTCCTCCGACTTCCCTTACTCCTCAGACCATGAAGGTTACAAGAGTCAGAATAAGAAGTCCTCCATCTTGACATTATCTCAAAATAACTGCTTGTAGTGTAGATGCAGACTATGTTATTTTGGAATAACATTAGTTATTCCAAAATAACGCTGTTATGTAGACATAGCCTTAGCGTCAAGTGACTTCCTACCAGCTTGGAATGCTTCTGGTTTCAATCTTGAGAAGGTTGGTTCTGTAGGCATGTGATATGAGGCCCAAAAGATATCCAGGGAGCCTTCACAAGGGAAGAGTAAGTCTTCTGATCTACCAATCTTGCTGAAAGGTCAAGATATCTAATAAGAGTTTTTGAACTGACTTTAATGAGAGTAGTTCCTAAGTTTCTACTCCATTCTGGGAAAGAATAAGGGATGGCTTTGGAAAGTAAATTAGTATTTGTAACGTGTATTAAATATAATTGTGGAGTTCTGACTATAACAAATACAGGCAGTCCCCGAGTTACGCGGATCCGACTTACATCGGATCCGCACTTACGAACGGGGCTTTCTCGCCCCGGAGTTCGCAGGCAGCGGGACCGCCCAGAGCGCAGCGGTCCCGCCACCTCGACCTCTGGGGCGAGAAAAGCTTCTCCGGGGGCCCCTGGCCTGCTGGGGACCGTCTCCAGCAGACCAGAGACACCTGGAGCAAAGCCGGGGAGGCGGAGGGGTCCCGCGCCTCTGAGGCTTTGCTCTGGCTCTGGTATTTTGCAAGAACCCTGAGGAAGGGGTCTTTGTAATCACTCCCCTCTCTAGATAACTAGCACAGAGGAAGAAATGATTCAGCACATAGAGAATATACAGAATTCTGTGTACCATAATGAATATGTGCCACATAATTGCCTTTCTTTATGAATTTGCCAAAAAAAAATGTGCTCTAGAATCTAACCTTTCATGATCAAGGTGAAGATAATAATGCCTTTTGGATGCATAGGTAATTCCAAGTTTTAACCAATGCAGCGGTGTCTGCCTGAGTTTGCCAACAGCTAGAAACAACAATTCAGGTGGGTACATGTCATTCATTTCAAATCGGTTGCTAACTCAGTCTGGAGCCTGTACTCATAATGTTGCTATCTGAAGTGTTAATTACTGACCATTTTTGCAGGAAAAAAAAATCAAGCTGCTTCATTATTTTGTATGTAATGGAAGTTATGGACATATGGTACGGAGCAGCTGATTGCTGTGGACATTTGCTGGGGTAAGGACAAGAAATTCACCATCCTGACCAAATTTACAATAATGTTCAGAGTCACACTCAGAGCCAGCACCCTGATGGGTATGAATTGCCCCCCTATCCCCAGGGCTGGCCTTACCATGAGGCGAATTGAGGTGGCCGCCTCAGGTGCCAGAATGTGTGTCTGTGGGGGGGGGGGGGCACCACTAGGACCCAGAGTGTAGAAAATTGTGTCTGCTGCTGGTGCATATGTATTCTCTCTGCAGTATCATGAGAGGAGTAGAACAGGAAGAAGGCAGAATTGAGACCTTTCAAAGTTTTGGCCCAAAAGAGGGGGCGTCATTTGAGCTCCCTGCCTCAGGTGCCAAAATGTTGTAGGCCGGCCCTACCCACCCTCCCACATGCCCTGTCCGGCCTCTCCCAGCTCTCCTGTGCCCAGTAGAGAATCTCCCCCATTATGTTTGCTAAGCACACAAAATATTCTACTTCTATTCAGAAGTTCATAAAGAACATCCTACAAAGCAACAACTGCACCAGTACTCTTAGTGGAAATACCATGTTCTAGAAATAGGCATATCCTGTTAGTGATCTGTTTTGCCATTCTAGCTGAAGTAGCACATAATTCAGAGCAGATTACTAGTAAAATTGGAAACAGAAACCAGGTGCCTTGGAAACAGAAACCAGGTGCCTCCCAAATTGTGTATAGATTCTTCAATATTAAAACAGTAAAACCCAACACAGCTGATTTATATAAACCGAAGATCTAAAACAACCATGCCCATTTCAGATATTTCAATACAAACTGAAAAGAAGAGTTTCAAAAACTGAACTTGTATTTTCCAGCAAAGGCTTCTGTGCTTTGAAAAAACTAGCAGGTTATTGTGTTATTTACTGAGCTCTCAGTTTATCATTTACTTTGGCTTAAATGTATCCTTATAGTGAAAAACAGAAAACAGTGTGTACAGGGAAAAAAAAGAACATTTCAAAGGAAGAAAATAATGTTTCTACTGAATTTCAAAACACATCCTAAAAAAAATCTATATATAGGAGTGCTATTTTGCATGTGACTGTTTTAAAATAAAAAGACAGAAAAAGGGAAGTAATTTTTGGCTTTCATTGAGCCCATGGGAATTCATGTACACTTACACCAAATTATGGCTCATTTTGTAAACTGCCTCAAAACAGGTGCTCATAAAGGGGCCTGTTCTGTAACCCTTACTCATGCTAGTTTCACATTTCAAATCCAAACAAAGTCTGACCTGTGTCCAGGAGAGCTACCTTAACAACACACAGTGTCAATACCTTAAAATTCCCTTTCTCTGCAGAACTCCACCACTCTAGCAAAACAGGAGGTGATTGAAATTGATAGCAATGTTACCTAGAGGTTAGCACTCCTAAACCAATAATCTCAGAAACTGTGTTATTTCAAAGAAAATATTTTAGTAATTACTAACAGTGCCCCTTGCCCACCTTTCCTCCAGCCCCTAACACACTCGAAACCAAATGGCAGCTAAATCTCTAACTCCATTAGGAATAAAAGCTTCCGGGAGTAGTCAAGTTAGTCTATAACTAGAAAACCTTAAAAAACAACAAAGAGCCTAGCAGCACCTTAAAGACTAACAAAACGTGTAGATAGTATCATTAGCTTTTGTAAGCATAACCCACTTCTCAGCATTCATCTGAAAAACTGGGTTGTGCCCACGAAAGCTCATGATACAATCTACATGTTTTGTTAGTCGTAAAGAAGCTGCAATACTGGGTTTTTTTTTTTTTTAAGTTTTTCCATTAGGAATGCAATGAAACTTTCAATCTTTAAGAAAAAAATCAGTGGGAGTTAGGGGCCATTGAGCTATTTGTGCCTTTGAAAATGTCCCTCTACAAATACATAGTATAATATATAAAGTATGTTGCTCCCATAAAAGCTGGTTTTTTTACTGATCAATACAAGTATTCAATGCTGGCAAATGCTTCACTGAAATAATACAAAACCTGGAGAAACTTCTAAGGAACTTTAAGAGCATCATATGAAATAGACAAGAATGTAGTTTCTAGCCAAGAAAGGAAAAAATTATTTATAGGCAGACTTGGAGGCAAGATTTTGCCAATTGACTTTGCCAGGGATAAGAAGAGTTGCTTTGAGTAGATTTAACACGCTGACATTACTCACAGGCAACAATACGCATAACTATTTGCAATATCCTTTAGAAATCATAGAGAATGTCCAGTCCTGATTTTCAAAAACTTTATTGTCTTACCACTTACAAAGAGTCTATTTACAATGGCGAAAAGACAAAAGATGCTTTACTGAATATCTAAACAAAGAAAATATTAAAAAATAATACTCTTTTCTGGTAGGATTAGATTGCATTTGTCAACTGAAAAAAATATACTATATTGAGTACAACATGTGATTCTACGCTAAAAAAGCGTCTGTAAAAATATACATCTTATTCATCAGAGTTGCTCCTTGTGTGTATTCAGAATCACATCTGCTTTCTTTAGTAATAGGTATTTTTACTGCTTTTCACTCCCGTTAGTCTAACAGAGCCAACACAACTAAAATAATTTAAGCTGGACTCTATTTATTCTTGTCTCATCACAATAAAACTGTTTAAAGTCCAAGCAGTTAAATGGAAATGACTACAATGAAGACAATGGGATTGGCACTGAAGAATTTTTGGCCAGCAAAATATGTTATTATTGATGGTACAATATGACAAGGAAAGTAGATAGCTTGACTCTCAGATCCCACAATGAGTTTACAAGACTCATTATTTAAAACAAAAAAAATCTTATAAAATGAGCTTATCTAGTATGCAAATCAGTGAGAGACAACTAGCATACATAGCAATTACTCTTAAAAGAACATAATGTGAAGCACAGAATGGCATTTGGACTCTGCAAAGACCATTTTTGCTTGGCTCACAGTAGATTTCTTACATCTGGGCACCTGCATTTATTCACTTAAATCCAGATGCAGAATGCTTAAATCAGCCTGATTATCACTGAAGGATGTGGTTATTTAGCACCTCTTAGTAAAATGAGGATTTAGAAGCCTAACTTGAGGTGCCCAAGTCTGAACCTTTTTGTCAATGTGATTTGAGCAGCGCCCAATAACAAGTTATTGGCAAAAATGCTAATAGAATCCTGGAGCTAATTCTCAGGCAGTTTTTTCATAATATATCTATTCATATGGGGCAATTCAGTTTTCTTTTTTCCTTGCATTACCTAAGAATAGTGGTCAACTTGAAGGCATTAAAGCAGTCATGACACAAAAACAAAACAATGAGAGGCTCAGTGGAATGAAAATTCATGGATTCACAGTGTGAAATCCTGATCCTATTGAAGTCAGTGGGAGTTTCTCTCAACTTCAGTGGGGGGTCAGTATTTCACCCACAGGTTTTTAGGCCAGAAGAGACCATTATGAACACCTCATCTAACCTTCAGAGTGATGTCAAACGTTCATTGCTGGTAGATTTAATTAAACTTAACATAAGAAAATTACACACGAATATTATTTGCAGCAATTTATAATGTACTTGTAAAATAAAATAAAACAAATTTCCTTTCCTTTCTTAATGAAGCCCACTTAAAATTAACCCCATTTTATTTAAATGAACCAATCAAAGAAATAAGATGCTTTACAACAACAGGAACAGCAACAACTTATTTTTAGAACTTTGCTAAAACTCCAGACATTTCTGAAGCAAAGAAAAACATTAAAAAGTTAAATGGGCCACAATACTTTTCCAGCTTCATTTCCTGTTTTCCTTACAACTAACAGACTCAGAGATTTTAAGGTCAGAAGGGACCTTCATGATCACCTAGTTTGATTTCCATGTACCTGTGACTACTGCAAGTAGAAAAATATACTATACAAGAAAATTCTTTCACTTTGCTTTACAGTTTAAAGGACTGAAAAGACAGAGTGCTGTAGACACTTGGCCCAATTCACTATTGCTTCACTCCAATAAATTAATGGAGGAGTGCCAACATAAAACTCGACACTGTAGTGAATTGGACTCTACATCATACAAAGAAGCATCAGATAATTTGTAAGGAATCTGATTCACTAGGGATATGCATTCTGAATAATATACACTGGGTTTAACATATGTGGTACTGTTGATTTTTCTGTTCCGTGCCAAAATGTTAAGAGAAATGTAGCCTTTTGCATTAGCATGCTGTAACATAATATGTGATTCACCTGTTCAGGCCAATAATTCCAACTTACAAATGTTCCTCGCACACTGAATTTCCAGCTTGTGTGAAAAAATGATTGGAATGAAGATAACTTTCTTAGTTGCAGAATTTGCACAGCAAACCAAATCCTATTTCTATAGTATGGACTGATACTGTCAAAGTAGAAAATACCATAAAGGCTCAATCCTAACATAACCAAGACCTCCCCTGAAATCAGTGAAGTCCTTTGAAATGAAGGAAGTTTTACCTGGATAAAAACAGCAGAATGAGACCCTATAAAAGTACCAAAAGTAAAAGTCACATGTGTGCAGAGAGTCTTGCCCACCATCTACATCCAACTTTCACCCTCCATGAATTTATTATCGAATATGTAACTCTCATAGCAAATATATTCCATACAAAAAATTGAGACAACATTGCACAATCTATGCATCATTAAACACTGGTCTTATCTAAATGTTAAAAAAATTGAAATAAGATAATTTATTAAACAGTTATATATGAAAATGTACTCACCGTTGCCGGAGCCTCTACAGTTGCCATTATTAGAATCCATAGGGAAATCTGGCATGGATTCGTAAAATATGTAAAGAAATGTTAGTATTTTTAATACTGGATTATTTCAACACAGCCACATTAAAAGTTACTTAAATTTTAATACACTAAATATTAGAAAAAAATTAATACCCTATTAATGAAAAAGAGGTTGCAATATTTTACAGCCTTCTCCTGTTTCTATTGAAGTCGGTCTGAATTTTGTCTTTAGCAGGCACTTAATATTACGTGCTGAAGCAGACTCTATATTTACTGCTCCCAGTGGAAGCTTCACTTTCCCATTGGTGTCAGTGAACAGAGTAGGAGAATCTAAACAAGAGTGGAAATAGGTGTCAATTCAGACATGAGCTGGGGGAAATTCTGACATGCACTTATACTGCTTTTCTGCTCGATTAGTTGCTGGAGGATAATTCAGCTTTAATTTCTTCCATGACAAAAAACCAACCAACCACAACCATGGACATACATACATCACAGACAAACACACAGCTTTGCAAGTGGACCAATGTGGGTATACACTATTCCCTGCATGGAGCCCTAAGGAAGCTGAGGGGCTCAGAATGGGTGCAAAGGTCCTGCTACACAGATTCAACTACAAAGCTGTATATTTTTTCACAAATCTATCTCTACATATATATTAGGGATGTCAACATGTAGTCAAGTACACACGACAGAGGCTGCAGCACGGAGGCAGGCAGGTGGGAGCCGATATGCGTGGGGAACTGGCTTTTAAGCCAGCTCTCCTTGTATGCCAACTCTGCGAAGATGCCTGCCCTTCCACCCCTGCTGCTGCCTCTATAAGAGGCAGCAGCAGGGGCTAGGGCAGGGGAGGCTGCTCTGTGGGACGCCATATCAGAGGCAGCAGTGCAGGGTGGCAGGGGCTCCTCGGGAGTGGAACTGGAAGCGCACTGGTTGCTGGCCCAGCCCCAGGGACTATCGAATAGTCATGTAACTGATCATATTTTGTGCAGTTACACAACTATTCAATTAATCACTATCTAACATCCCTAATACATATATAGCTATATTATAGACATTTGTGAGTGTCTGTGAGTGAATCCATCCACTTGTTCAAGAACTGCTCCTAAACTATAAGAGTTGGGAACACAAAATAAGGGATGCAGATTCCTCTTATCCTAACAAAGAAAAATCAGAGTTGGTTCTTGGAGGAAAACGGGATATGCTTGGAATGGGATTATTTACCATAACATGGAAAGGGAGAGGGCTGATTAGAGGGAGCAGCTACACTGCAGAGTGACCACTGTGGGGCGGCTGCACCAAGAAGAGAGTGGCCAGCTTGGGACAGAGCCTTCTAAGTTGACAGCCACCAGACTGAGTAAGTGGCTCCCCTGCCTAAAAAGTGCCAGACCCAGGGGGAGGGAGAGCACCTCCGCCCACTGACCCCACCACAGTGGTCCTCCCCCCCGAGCCACACTGCCTGCCACTACCCCCCGCCGAGACGCCCGGGCCTCAAATCACGGCCTGACATCTCCCCTCCCCACTGAGGAGATACCAGAGCCAGGAACTGCACATACCCCACCCCCACTGGACCAGCTAGAAACTAGGGTGGGGAGCTTGAGGCCAGCCCAGACACCCCTTCTGGACAAGCTGGAGGTTGGGGCCAGCCTGCATGGCCCCACCGACAGGAAGAGCCCTCAGCCAGGGAGCACAGCCATCACCACCACAAGTGGCCATGATAAGCCACCTCAACATCCCAGCGCTCTCACCCAGGCACTCCCCACCCTGAGGCCTCCACCACCGGCCCTAAGCTTCCCCACACACCCAATCCCCTACTCTTATCCCCCCACCCTTCCCAGCCCCCTGCCATTACTCCAGAACCCATCCCTTGCTCTGCCCCTCTCACACTCAACCCCGTCCTGAGCCCTCCACTACCTGCCCTGATTCCTGCACTCTCCAATCCCTGAAGCACCCACATACACCAACCTTCTGCCCTGACTCCTGCACCCCAACCCCCATCACTTAAATAAAGCATGTACTTTTTCATTTTAATTAATGAAATTAATTAGGACCAGTGCAACACTGGGTACATCTGCTAGTGACATATGTGTGTGCACATACACACACAAGATTAACTATGGATTTAAGAACCTAACTTTAAGCACCCATTTTTTAAAAAAATGTCTTGGCTCTATATGTTATTTCCTTGATGTATTTGTATGTTGTACTTCATGCATCACAACCTTACATAGGTAGATTAAAAACATGCTGGATAAAGGAAGATTTTGAAATACCACTGAAATTGTAAATAAACTAGGCAAAACTGAGATTTGAGCATCCGACATTTGTATCAATGCAGTACGCACAAGGGTACAGGAAATGTCCCAGCATACCATCCTTGCCAGTTGTCTATTTAGCCCAGAATCATCTCCTTAACAATGTCCAAAACCGTTTGTCTCATATAAAAGAACCCCCCCCCCCACACACACACACACACCATAATGCATCAAACTTTACAGCATCATAGTATGGAAGAAATTTTTCCTGATGTTAGCTTATTCATCTACTACAGATTATACCTGTCATTTTTCTCAGAACTAGTAAAATTTCAGTAACCAGTCTTATTCATGTGTTATCTGAATTCTATGTTTTCTTGAATCATGCTAAGCTATTCATGTCAAATAGCATCTTGAGGCTGTGAACGCTACAGATCAATTATACGTGGGTTTTTAAAAAGTGTTTCCTATTATCCAATTTAAATGTGCCTTTTAAATTTTAACAAGTATTTTTTAATCTTTTACTAGTGGGCTGTGTCCCATGCTTTTGAGGCCAGGGAGCGTGTTGACATCATTCTGTCACCTGGCAGGAAAAACTTTTTTATACAAAGAGAGAGATTATAGAACAGGGTAAAAGGCATAATCCATATGGCCATCTTTGAGCCTATTATTTTCTTATATAGAACTATTTCCCCTTATTTTTCACCTTGCTAAGCTACAGTGCATTTTCTGGGACCCAGCTGTGTTTCCTCATTTGGTACTTTGAATCATGGCCTTTCTTTGGACCTGTGGCAATTATTTCTGACTTGCCTATTGTTACTACCAGTCTGATACTCCCCTCAGCAATTCCCATTACTAGAAGTCTTGGGACCTAGATCTACAAAATACCCATAAACTGGGTCTTCCTTACACGTGCACAGCAGCTTGAACCATAGCTTATCCTTGTAACATCTGTTTGCATTCTTTCAGTGAGGGCATAGCTGGGCCCCCCTTCCACCTTGCCTAGAAGCCCCGGGAGGCTGTCGGCTCCCCTAAGTGTTAGCGTCCCTAGTTATCTAATAAAATACATAAAAATCGTTTTGTTTGAGAAGCAGTTATGCATACTGTGTATAGTAACCCTACACAAAACACAAACCTCCAGGAAAATGAAAAATAAAGCCACCTAACACCTCCATCCACACCTTAGTATGACCATACCTACCATATGCCGCAATCTTAACTCAGCTCCATTTTCAACCTTTGGCATGTGCTCGTTCACCAATTTCTTTTCCTCCTCCCCCACTGGTACTAGTTTGGATGTTTAGTGAAGTAGTTGGTTGTGCTGGCAGAGATTAATTTTGAAAAGAGTCATGGCACGAGAAGTCATTCTTCCACTCTACTCTGCACTGATTAGGCCTCAGTTGGAGTATGGTGTCCAGTTCTGGGCACCATATTTCAAGAAAGATGTGGAAAAATTGGAGAAGGTTGAGAGAAGAGCAACCCAAATGATTAAAGGTCTAGAAAACATGACCTATGAGGGAAGACTGAAAGAATGGGCTTGTTTAGTTTTTAAAAAGAGAAGACTGAGAGGGGACATGATAACTGTTTTGAAGTATCTAAAAGAATGTTACAAGGAGGAGGGAGAAAAATTGTTCTCTTTGGCCTCTGATGATAGGACAAGAAGCAATGGACTTAAATTGCAGCAAGGGAGGTTTAGGTTGGACATTAGAAAAAACTTCCTGTCAGAGAGGTTAAACACTGGAATAAATTGCCTAGGGGGGTTGTGGAATCTCCATCACTGGAGATATTGAAGAGCAGGTTAGACAGACACCTATCAGGGATAATCTAGACTATGCTTGGTCCTGCCATGAGGGCAGGAGACTGGACTCGATGACCTTTGAAGTCCTTTCCAGTTCTATGGGCAGTTGTGCTAAGATGTGGTCTGGGAAGAAAAGAGGGCATTGGATAGTTTAACTTTTCATTTTATTTATTTTTTTATTTTGTGAGACATGTTGTGTGTCTAGTAACCCTAACTGTTTCTCAATAAAGACTTTTATATATCACCTCTTAATTTATTTAATGCTTATTAGGTGTGGGCATTGCATAAGTGAGGAACACGACATGTAGGGCTTAAAGTACAGTGAAAGAACATTTGATCCATTCTCTGTTGCAAAATAGGTTCGCACACAACAGTCTAGCTTCTCACAGAGAAGGCTTTGTGCACTCCTGGTCTTCATCCAATAGCTTTGCATACAGCTTTCTCACCTCTTCATCAAACTGTCACACTTGGAGATGCCCAGCCCCTCCAATACCCTGTCCGTCAGGCTTCTGTGTATCCAGCATTCCCTGTCAATCAAGCTTTAGTATACTGAGCCCCTATAATAACATCTTGACACAGTCTATTTAGTTTGCACCTAGCCTCCATTCATCAAGTTTATCTGCACCATGAACAAACTTACTCGTTATGCAAATAATGGCTAAAAACATTTGTTAAAAAGAACTAACCAACCAACAAACATTCTCTCAGTGGCTCCCAGGATCGATCTTTCTACGAAGTTTTCTCCAGACAACTGTGTACAAAAATTTCTGTCAACAATAAACAGCAGCCTGCCAAAGGAAAAATTCAGCACAAGCCCCAGTTCAAAGGCTTTCCATTACAAATTGGTTATAAGACTAACAAAAACTGCATAGAAATTCAAAAAGCCTAAAAATTAACCCTGTGTGAAATTTCACACCAATTGGCTAACAATTTTTAAAGAAAGCTAGGAATTTATGCCACATTTTAAAGCCATTTCA